GGGGGTGAGTTCAGCTGCCCCCCCCACCACCGCCCCAAGCCACGCGCTGTGCCCAGCACGGAGCAGGGGGCCCCTTGGCCTCCCCCACCCTGGAGCCGGTGCTAGGAGAGGCGTTCAGGCTTGCCAAGACCACGTGCCAGCCCTGCCACCCCGTCCCGGGATCCTCCTCAGCCCCCCCAGCTTCGTGCATGCTCATGCACGTGCGTGCCTGTGCACCCCTGCAATGCTGCAGGCTCGGGGCAGCGTGGGACAGCACGGGTGGAAAGCTCCAGCCAGCCCAGCATAGCGGGGCATTTCCCCCACGTGTGGGGAGCCTGGATGCCAGGCCCGTTCTAGCCGGGGATGCGGGCAGCAGCCCCTCGCGGGGGTCTGCGGTGCCTGGCACAGCCCCGGGAGGGTCGGCGCTGGCACCGAGCAGGGTCGGGACGGGTCTCACGCACTGATGGGCTGCCCCTCCAGGAAGTGGATGTTGTGCAGCGACTCTCCCTGCTTGGCTCGCAGGTTCTCCAACCAGTACCGGATGATGCCCTGCCGCTCCTGCCGGGGGGAGAGGTGAGCGGGTGGGGAGCCAGGGGGTCCCCAAAGCATCACCCACGGGATCCACCCCGCAGGACCCGGGTCTGCGGCACCAGCCCCGTGGCCTGGCCCTGCACCCCGGCTCGTTCCAGGGGCAGGGAGCGGGCGCCCACCTGGGAGGTGAAGAAGTAGAGCTCGTTCTCGATGTTCTCGTAGATGTAGTCCTCCTCGCAGGAGAAGCTGCGCATGCCGCCCCCGAACTCGGCCTTCACCGGCTTCCGCAGCCCGATCTCGTCCGCGCCCCGCAGCAAGCTGCCCGGGGGCAACAGCGAGGGGTGAGGGGGGGCCCCGGGGCCGCCCCGGGCAGCGAGCGGCAGGGCGGGCGGGGGGCTCCTACCTCTCGTAGTTGGCGGTGACGAAGAAGGCGTAGACCTTGGTGAGCTTGTGGTGCCGGATCTGGATGATGAGCTCGGGGATGCCCAGCCGGATGTGGTTCAGCAACCAGAGCAGCGTGTGGTCATCCGTCGTGTCTGCAGGAAGCACAGGGAGGGCAGCGCGGGGCGCAGGCAGGAGATGCCGTCCCCTTGGGACGACCGGCCCCTGGGCACCGGGCATGGGGCTGGAGCTGCCAGGACCCACCCCAGGGCCCCGGCAGGCCGGGTCTGCATGCCCGCGTGCCCGCGTGCCCAGCCGGCTGCCTACCAGGGAAGGTCATGAGCACGTCGCAGTTCTCGGTCGGCACCGTCTTCATCCAGGACTTGTGGGACATGATGTAGCGCCCGGCCTGGAGCAGCCGCCTCCCGAAGAGCTTGTCTGCGGAGGGAGCCGGAGCAGGGGGGCGTTAGAGATAGAGGCGAGGGACGCCGGGGACGGGGTGAGTGGAGGGGACGCAAGGGCGGGAGATTTGGGGCAAGGTTCGCCCGCCCCAGCCCACGGGAGCTGGAGCCAGGCTGACCCCTGAGGCATGTGGCAGGGATGGCTTACAGCCCGGCTGGACGGGGGCCACGTGGCACGAGAGGGCCGGAGCTGCCGGCCAGGGCAGAGGGCTGCGTCTGGCACACGTGGAGAGCACGCCGCATGCACACCGGGCACTCAGCAGGCAGCACCGGTTTCCACGTCGGCAAGCGCCACGACACTGTCCTTGCCCACTGCCTGCATCCTGCCCCTGCCTGGGGCGCCGTGCCCACGGGCCCTGCACCACCAGCGCAGGTGCAGCCTCTGGGGCAGGTCCCGGGCGGGGAGGCGGCACCGGGGCGCACGGGGCAGGGGCACCGGTTACAGGCAGAGGGGCGTCTCCGGGCGTCGAGGTGGAGCAGAGCGGTGGCGGGAGGGCAGAGCAGCAGGCCCTGGCTCGGGCTGGGAGCATCATGTTGGGGACAGAGCCACGCCCGCGCCCAAGCAAGGGGCATCCCTGGTGTGCCCCCCAAACTGGTCCTGTGCACCCAGGGTTCTGGGAAATGTAGTTCCCCAGGGCACTGTGGGAATGGCAGGCTGCTGCAAGGCATGCTGGGAAGGCAGGTGGGGTATATAAAGGGCTGCTGGGCAGCTGCAAGCAGAGGTGAGGGTGGTGGGTGTTGCAGGAGTGGGGTTGTGATGTTTCTGCCGCGATGGAAGGGGCCGCTCGCAGGCATAAGGATGGGGCTGCGGGGGCAGTTTGGACCCCTGGGCTTTGAGGGGGAGGTGTGACCTGCCCCCCGCCCCATTTGCCCCTGGGAAAGGAGTGTGCCCCTGGCAGAGGCAGCTGGGGGCTGAACCGCTCCTGGCAGCCCTGGCGTCGCTGGAGAGGAGTCCAAGCAATCTGCTCAGGGGAAACTGAGGCAGGGCTGCACTGCGGCAGGGCTGGGTGAGTCCGACGCCTGTCCCGTCCCTGCTGATCCCCCCTTCACATGGGGCTGTGTCGTGGGGCTGCGGGGGGGTCTGGCTCTGCTCGGGGTGCGTGCGGTGCCTGGTGCCCCGGCCCGTGGGGAGGGGGCTTCCCGGTGGTGCAGGCGGCAGAGCGACACGCTGGTATCCGTACTCTGAATGCACATGCGCGCTTGCATGTGCGCACACGTACACGTGCACACTCCCAGCTCTCCAGTACCCCCTCTGCCCTGTGGTCCAGAGCTCAGACCCCCCCAGGTCTCCCCGTGCCTCCCTGCCCTGGTCCCCCGCAAACCCCCTCCCAGCTGGCTGCCGCGCCTCTGAGCCCGTCTCTGGCTGGGCGCGGCCCCGGAGCAGCCTCCAGCTCCCTGCCTGCATCCCGCGCCTCTGGGGCTCCTGCACCCCGGCTGCGGAGCGGGTCCCCCAGATGCCAGACCTAGCGCTGCCCCAGCACGCCGACCCGGGGCACACGCCCCAGCTCCCGGGAGAGATGAGCCCCGCAGCGCTGAGCTAAAGGCCCCTGCCCATCAACCGCCCGGTCGCAGGACAAGGTGCCGGCTCTGCCAGGCTCCGACGTCC